TAAATAAATATATAACATGGTAATCCAAATATTAAACATTACATTTAAATTTGAACTATTTGATAAAATTAAAGTAAGCAACATCCAAAAAAAGAGATTAAAATCGACAACTGGACTTCTTCCCCGTCTTTAGAAAAATGAATAGTATTACTTCACATTTAAGGTAATATTATTCATATCTCCAAAATCAGGAAAACAAATCATATAGGGTTGAAGAACGGTGGAGGAGAAATGTAGAAAAAATTGGCATTTGGGGAATTGGAGATTCTCTAAGTTTGCCACAAAAGATGGTTTTGTGAGAACAAAAACCTTGTTTCATCGATCCTTTCATCAAGGATGTCTTTAAAGCAAGAAATTAGAAAGTGGGCACTTGATCAAGAAAACATACATAATTTATATAAGTGTATTTTGTGTAATGTATTATTATCACACTAAAACATGACTTACATTTTTGTCTTAGGTAAATGTTATAATTGATGTCATTGATTTATGACATACATATGTTGTGAACCCTCTAAGTTTTAAAAAGATGGCATTTTTATGACATAGATATGTGTATGTCATAAAATTAGTTTGTAGTTATATGTTCTAGTAGTAATGTTTTCTCTTTTCTAGAAGAAGGTCGTTTAAAAAAACAAAAAAAACAAAACAAAACAAAACAAAACAAAGAAGAGGAAGAAGAAGAAGAAGAAGAAGAATAAGAAGAAGAAGAAGAAGAAGAAGAAGAAGAAGAAGGAGTCAAACTCACCTGAAAGTAGAATAATTTACTGAAGTTAATTAAAACCCAAAAAATGAAAAGTAGAAACTTTTAGAGATTCCACAAGGGAAATGATTCTTCCACAGATGATTTTGATAAATCCACTGAAGTTTAAAATTTATAACAATTATTCACCCATGTAAAATTTAAGAGTATTACTTTTTGGATTGGTAAGCTAATTATACCAAAAAAAAAAAAAAGATTTCATAGACAGTTTATACCCTTTTTCTCTTTTGCTAGTAAAGTCCCAAAAGCACCAAGTAAAAAAATTTATTTTAAAGTATCGAGCCATACAAACTTTGGTTCCAAATCCAATCAGTTTCAACTGTAACTTCAAACATAATAGTATATAAATAATAATCAAGGCGGAAAAAGTCATCAATGTAGTGCAGTCAAGTCGGGTCCTTCCTTATGGAACTAGAAGTACCTAAAAACGTTTAAACCACAAACCGTAAACACAAAGCTTAGTGAGTTTCCCAAAATACCACATACCATACATATCATCATGCCCAACTCGCACATTGGGCCAATCCCATAATAACGAACCCAACCCTCCAAAATAATGGGACCAACCCAAAATATCAATGTGCCAAACCCAACATATCAATAAGCCCAACCTAATCATGCAAATGGGCACAACCCTACATGCATGCCAATGGACCCAACCCAACACACAACACGAGAGTCACAAAAACAACTAGCATCCTACATAGTATAGTGAGAAAACTCACCTGACTGACAAAAGCATCTAAACCACAATTCAAATCCCTGCAAAAGATGTTATAATACTCATGTAAAAACATACAAGTTGAAACCTTAGTCTATACACTAAATCCAACTATTTTGACCAAAAGTCATCCCATCTCAACAAGTCAACGGTCAATGTCAAATTCAATAGCCAAAACACCAATCATTGTGCCTCACGTCTTGACCAACGCTTGGTCACGTCGTGAGAACTCAACTAATCCGATCCCAACTAGTTTCGTTCCAACTCAGCCAACTCGGTCACTAACAAATCACTCAGCATGTATCACGACATGAACCCTCCTTGGTCACGTTGTGAGCACAATAAGGCCACCTAATCACGAGAACCATCTTTGTCAAGTCATGATATCCTTAGTGTTACTGCGTGACTTTAGTCTGAAACTTCCCCTTAATGATTTGAGTTCTTAATCCATTAAGTATCTAATTCCAACTTTTCCAGAAGCTTAATGGGACTCGAAAGGTCCATAAAAATGATTAATTTATGGATATGCATGCTTCATGCATGCCCTCTATCCAATCTAGGTCAAAAGTGAAGAGATAACACAAAAACTCACATACATGGATCCAGTATGTAACCAAATTCTAGATTTGAACCTTATAATACTCAAGGGGTCCTTAGAATCCATGAAGTTACCAACATTATGAATTCCTTCCATTCAAACTTGCTCAAACATGAAGAACATAGGACAAAAACTTAGATCTAGCAACATTAAGCAATACAGTTTGGATCCTGGACACTTACAAAGGTCTAGGAATAATACAAGATGATGATGATGAATTTCCTAGTTGGATCCACTACTAGAACACGTTCTTATCCTTCTTCTTTTTCTTCTTCTTCTTCTTCTTCTTCTTCTTCTTCTTCTTCTTCTTCTTCTTCTTCTTCTTCTTCTTCTTCTTCTTCTTCTTATTCTTCTTCTTCTACTTCTACTTCAAGCTACCAAAAGCTCCAAAAAGCCATGAATCACCAAGAGAGATTAGGGTTAGGGTTTTCTGAGGTTTGAGGGTGATGGAGGCTGATAATGAACCCTAGGTTCGAGATAACGGTGTTTAAATAAGAATGAAACCCAAAAAGATCATGGGCTTTGATTGCAATCTTTCTCACGTCATGGCCACCTATGTGTCACGTCGTGAGCACTGATCTGATACATGTAACGACCCATAAATCATAGAAATTTAAAATTTTCAAAAACTACCCATTGCATATGTAAAGTGATTACATAACCATTGTTTCAAAAGTATTATTTAAAATTAGAGTATCCCAAGATCCAATGTCATAAATACTAGAAGATGTGCACCATGAAGCCTTTGCTTTCTCACAATCCTCTGAACTACCTGAAACAATAAACTGAAATTGTAAGTCAATGTTTAGTGAGTTCCCCCAAAGTACCATCACAAAACACAACAACCAATTGCTTGTAAATATGAGGCTTCATCCTGAATAGACTGCCTGGCAAGGCCTATAGCCTATAGGGACCGCTTTTTGAGCCTTTGGGCATTTAGCATTTGGGCATTCAGCCTGACTCGACCGCCTCGCAGGGCCTACAATTGATCTGGACAGCTCTCTGGGCATTCAGCCTAACTGGACCGCCTTGCAGGGCCTGCAGCCTATCCAAACCACCCCAGGTGTCTTAGCCTTCAGTACAAAGCAGAACCGCCTCAACCCAACCATAATATGTCAACACATGTAACCGATAAACATAAACACAGAAACAACAAATACAGATAATTATACGGATCTACTAATTAATCATGTACTAGCATAGTACTATCCTATAACCAAGATACATAATCTAGTAGGTTGGCATTGGTGCCTTCGACCCATGGATACAATAAGGAAAACTCACTTCTCAGACCGACGAGTAGCAAAAAAGTACACAACACCAAGTAGAGCTCCAACGCTAACTTTACTAATCACCTAAACAAAAACAACAACCTTAAGCTTAGTTAATAATCCCAAAAGACCTAAAATACCCAAACTACCCTTAAGTCAACCTTAGTCAAAATTTCAAAGTCAACAAACCAGACAAGTCAACCTAGCTGAGTATGCTGAGAGTACTCAGATGTACGTGGGGCGTACTCCTCTTGACCAGGAAGTCAAGGGTTTGAACCGTACGCGTAGCGTACCATTTGGTACGCCTAACGTACACACTTGGTCACCTAAACTTCTTATTAATAACTTAATCCATCAAATCCTTACATCCAAATCCAGATCTATGCCCAAAATGACATTATAAGTCATACATTTTCCAACTTTATGACTTTGCATGGCTAGAAGTGCTTAATACCAACAAACTCTAACTTCTTAATCCATTAGGATATCCTAGCACATGCATGGGGAACGACTAAGATCCAAGATAACATTTTTATGGTTCCTAATAACTCCATAATGGATAAAGTTTCCAACTTTATTCATTAGAATGGTACAATCAACCAAGATCTAGTCTTTAAGTCTCAAAGGGACCAAAAGTACATCTTTTCCAACGTAATCCACTAAGTCCAAGTCTCAAGCCTTTAGATCTGAATTAATATGATGTTTAGATGAATAAAGTTTCCAACTTTATCTATAACAAGGTCACAAAGTTTCAAGATCTAAACTTTATGCACTAAGGTGACCAAAAGCTTAAACACCCACGACTAGCTACATCTATCAAATGTATCATCAAGATTCAAACTTTATACCTCTAGAGGAAAGATCAAGGTGAAAAAAGTTTGTCTACAAGCTTCACTACAACTAACACTTCTCCAAAGAAATATTTCTTTTCCAAGATGCACCAAGAACACTCCAAAGCACTCAAGAACACCTTTTTTCTCAAAAGGCTCAAACTAGGGTTAGGGGTTTCAAGGGAGAATGTTGGAGAGGTGGAGGCTAAGAATGAAATGGGTTTTGGGAAGTTAAGGAGCTTAAATAGGGCTCAAACCATGAAAATAGGGTTTAGACATTGATCTCATATGTCCAGTGTAAGCCTGGTACGCCAAGCATACTCAGGTATGCCCTAGTACACCAAACGTACTTTCCCATACACCCAACATACGTGGCTTAACCCAAAATCGTCCTAACTTCAAACAATCATAACTTCTTCATTTCAACTCTGATTTTGACGATATTTATATCCACAGAAAGGTGTTGAGGATCCCCCACAATATTATCTAAGTATATTGGACTAAAAACATCTCGAAAAAAATCAATATCTCATGCAAGAAGTCCAAAACATCACTTTTCACATTTTTCCCCTTTGACTCCAACACAAACCAAGGGCTTAGATTACATAACCAATATTATCAACATCCAATAGGTTCTAAACCATATTCCCTTAAAGCCTAAGTACTTTACTTGATCCGTTTATTGTCCACAATCCTGATATAAGAACTTCTTGAAACAGGATGTTACATTACGCGTTCTTTCCCATGGCCTGTAACGTCGTTACCACCCACTGGACTAAATACCCCAACCCAAGATTATAAATAAGCATCATCCTCAATGCTTGGGGTGAGACGAAAGTACCTCAACTGGGGGTCGGGAGGAGGATATGGGTATTAAGGGTAAGGGTAAGGTTGAGGCGGATAAGGGTGAGCGAGGGGAGGGTATGGATATGGAGGAGGAAGTGGTACATTCTCAAAGTGGTTTTGTGATTAGTGCCACCCCTACATATGATGCATCTGCTATGACGTGATTTGGTTGGAGATACAAAGAGCCTCGAACCATTTGGAAAAATTGGAAAGAAGTAGGTAATATCCGGGAGGTGCCTATGGTTAGGTTTGTCGTGGAGAATCCCGTCACTGTCTTGAGCATGGAGCACATCCTCATTAAATGTATGGGTGATGGCCCTCTCGAGTCTCCAATGAGTGCGATCATGGAAAATGAAGTTGGAGACTCGAGATTCGGGAAGAATAAGATATCTGACCCCTTAAGGAAAATACCATGTAAAACCGTCTCTGCTCCTATGAAGGATGTGATCCATGTTTGTTAGAATATGCTCATCCAAAAGAATTTTGTTGTCTACGGGTGTATAGTCATCCGGGAGCTCAATGTCAAGGCCGTAGGGCTAAGAAGGTGACAAATCCTCCAATGAAAATATCACCGGCTGCTTTGGTTTTCATGAGTGCACATTTGTAGAAAAAGAACAAGGCAAAATCTGGGATCGTTGGGTTTGCACATCGTGTCATGCACCAAAGGAAGAATAGCTCAATCTTTGTGACTTGACCGGCTTCTTTACGGGAAAAAACGGTTCACACTAAGATACGATGGGTAATACGGAGGCACGGGTGAATGATGGAAGTTTCTTTATCGTAGTTGGTGCAAGAAAAGATTCCACCAATAATTTTCGTCCAAAAAGTCTTTTGGTTGAACTCGGGAGCTAGTGAATCGAAAGTCATGAATGTGCTCGAGGAACGTAAGCCCAAGATATCATTTATCCTTGTGAAATCGGTGTGCATCGGCTCCCCCATAAGTTGGAATGCAAATCTTTTCCTCTCGTTGTCTAACCCGCAGTCAGCTAGGAACTCTCTAGTAGGGAGTTGGTAAGTATCTTCCATGAGATTGAGAAGGTTTTTCCACCCGATGTTATGGAACAATTGATTAACCCCATCAAGAACCCCTAATGAAATGAGTGTGGGTGTGCACACAAATTTGGTTGAGGAAACTTTCCTAGGTAAACTTTTTTCTGTAGTTTTCAGTCGCCTTTATATCCTGGAATGTTGGAATGTTTTGTTCCTCATTTTGAGCTCTAGTGGGGGCTTTGCCTCGGGCGGTATCCGAGCCCTTTCTTGACGTGGACATGACCAACCTGCAAGCAAATTAACAATCATGTGAACCAGCAATTACAACAAATAATATTGCAATTTAACTCACCAATAGACTCCCTATGGACTTCTAAAAAGAGTCAACAATCCATACAAGAAATATTTCCTAGACTCATTTGATGCGATACCATCTAAATTGTTGTTCTAAAACATGCATATTCGTTAATTAAATTCAAGAAAAAAAAATGTACCCGTTCATGACCACGAATTTCAAAAGTCGAAAGTTGCGCGCGAAAATTCGTGATTTGAAAATCTTGAAATACTCCACCCCAAGCTTGAAGCTTTGCTCAATACCCCATGAGAAGTAATTTACCGCGAAAACCCAAGAAATCCGACAACGGGTTGAGATTCTAGCGAAATTTTAGGGCCAGGGGGTTTATAGACTTGACCAAAAGGGACACAATGGTGGTGTCAAAATTTTGATAGGTGGCCAAATCGAGTTTTCTAGCGAAAGGATGGTGGTCGACGGTTTTCATTCTGGGAGTGGATCGGGGGAAAATTTGAGAGAATGTCGCTAATTTCACATGATTCCTACCGGTGGTTTGACGGGAAATCGAGTTTTTGTTTTGAAGTGTAACGACCCGTTTCCGGTATGTTAATTCCTTGGTATTTGTTTTGAAGTTTTGCAAGAGGGACTCGGCGAGTTCATAGCCTGACTCGCCGAGTAGGGTCGGGATTTCGAGCACGTGTTAGCTGGAGACTCGGCGAGTCCATATTTCGGACTCGGCGAGTCTGTCCGTCTGGGAGAAACCCTAAATCCCCGGGTTGCCCACTATTTAAGCCACCTTATGGCCCTCATTCTCGCCTCCTTCACCCTCAGAAGCTGTGAGAAAACCCTAATTCGTTCTTGAGTGATTGTAAGTGATTTGGTGTGCTTTTGTGAAGGCTTGAAGAAGGAGAAGAAGAAAGGAGCAAGGAGAAGGAGTGTGGAACAGAGATTCAAGAGAAAAGCAAGAGCTCTTTGAGGTATTCTTCTGATTTCTGTCCCTTTTATGCTTAAAAACCCTTCTTAGATCTAGTTGATGCCTTTCTCAAGCCTTATGTTGATATGGAAGCCCTTTTATGCCGAGATATCTTTAGATCTGTTTATTTAGGAGTTGTAGAGCCCAGATCTATTGCCTTTATGGAGCTATTTTGCATATTAGCCCTAGATCTACCTCTTTTAGGCATCTTTTAGCCTTTATTCCCTTGTTCATGTGTTTGTGCATGTAAAGTTGGAAACTTTACGTGGTAAACCTGCTTATTGGACTCAGATCTATCATTTGTATGTTTTGGATTCAAGCAGAAACGAGTGTAGGATAGTTGCATGGCGGTGACTCGGCGAGTCGAGTCGCGAGTCCCCGATTCCTTCCTTTTGAGCGGTGTCTGTCGAGTGGGACTAGTGAGTAGTGGGGTGGACTCAGTGAGTTGAGGGTAGACTCAGTAATGGAGGGACTCGGCGAGTTGTTCATACAACTCGGCGAGTCCAAGGCAATCTTCTTAAGCTCAAGAACAACTCGTCGAGTTGTTCATATGACTCGGCGAGTCGGATGAAGATTGTCTGAGTTCTTGGATCAAGAGGGTACTCGTCGAGTCGTTGCCATACTCGACGAGTAGCAGTGAGTAGGATTGAAAAGTGAGAGTAGGACTCGGCGAGTTGGCGGCCCAACTCGGCGAGTCAGTTCAAATGAGAGTTGACTTTGACCAAGGGTAAAAGAGTCATTTTACCCAAGTGCAGTGTTTAGTATTTGATTGAGTGTGTTTATGGACTTGTAGCCGGGGAGATACCGGAGCAGCAGCAGTTAGCTTCCAGAGCCACACACTCAGCAGCCAGTTTACGAGGTGAGTTTCCTTCCCATAGTTAGAGTGCTTGATGTCTTTGTGATACAAGCATGTTTGTGTTATGTGTTTCGGACTCTGTTCCGATACAGTATGCAGTATATGTGATTATGATAGTGTTATGTGTTATGCTATGCCATGATCGGTTAGTTCCGGACCTCGGTTCGATGCAGTCAGTTCCGGGCTTCGGTCCGATGCAGTTAGTTCCGGATTTCAATCCAATGCAGATAGTTCCGGACTCTGGTCCGATGCAGGGGACAAGGTCCCATTCAGTTCCGGACTTCGGTCCGATGCAACTAGTTCCAGACTTCGGTCTGATGCAGCGGGCAAGGCCCAGTATGTGCTTTATTTATATGTTGTATGGTATGTGGTAGTTTGGGGGAGCTCACTAAGCTTCGTGCTTACAGTTTCAGTTTTGGTTTCAGGTACTTCCACAAGCAAAGGGAAGAGCTCGGGGTGATAGCATCACACACACCACAGCTTTAGCTTTTATCCTGGGAATTAATTTAGTCTGTTTTGATTTGACATAGTATGACACAGTTTTCCACATAGTGTTTTTATTATGTTTGGGATACATCACGTATGATTTTATGATATGACACTCAGATTATGGTTTTGGTTATAGTGAAAAGCGAAATTTTTGGGTCGTATTTTTGAGTCGTTTCAAGTTGGTATCAGAGCCCTGGTTTGAGGGATTCGGATACACTTCCGGGTGTATCTGAACTCAAACTAAGGGGAAATAAAAAGATTTAAAAAAAAAACGTCTTCTAAAAAGAATTTTGAAAGTACTTAGAAAGAAAGAAATTTTTAACGAGATAGAGGTGTGTGCATGCGATCAGCCGAGCTCAAGTAAGTACTCCCAAATTACCCATACAAGTTATTTGTTCAGTTTCAGTTTCAGTAGAACAGCATGCTAGTATAGGACTAAGGATCTAGGAGAATGCCTTATGTGCCTGCTTCATGTGTTACAGCTTTATGAGTATTGCATGCTAGTATTGAGTAGACAACAGTAGGATAGCTTGTTTAGGTTATGCCTGATAGTATGAGCTTAACATCCTATGCTAGTACAGTTTCTTGTTATGAGAATAGTTTTGCCTGAGTCTGTTTCCCTTATCTGAATGCTGCTTGCTTCGTGCTTTGTGGGGTTCTGAGTGATGGGAGTTAGCCATTAGGTGAACACGTCACACCACATATGATCAGGGTTGAATAATCCCAGAGTGCTGGAACTGGCCCCATTGCGCAGCTCTTGTTTGAGTCCAACCGTTATAGGGACGGGTCTTTTACTTGAAAGATTATCTGATCCTCATCACATGTGATGGTGTTCAGGTGGTGGCTAATTGGCATTATAAGGAAACCTTCAGCAGCTGAGGACTAGTTGTGTTGAGCCTAAGGTTTCCCTAGGGCAAGCCTAGGATGAGAGTAGCAGAGAGCAGCAGTAGTAGAAGTGACTTGGTGGAGTCAAGGCAGTTCTTGAGGAAAGTACGGATAGATGTGGAAGGTAGTATGGGCCCGTACTACTGAAAGCAGAGGATCCGTACTCGAATCAAGGAAGGCCAAGACAAGACCAGGAAGCTAGTAGTAGTATCATGATCCCTTGAGATATTTCAGTGTTCTGATGTTGTTATGATATGTTTCAGAATGGTAGTTTTGCGTTCGAGACCAGCAGTCGGCAGTTCAGATGCCGGAGGAGGATCGGGATCGGGATCAGGATCAGGCCTGGAGGTCAGGCAGATGGATGAGCAGACCAGAGAGTTCCTTTCTTCTGAGGTTACCCGCATCATATTGGAGCAGACTCCTGTGATCTTCGGTTCGATCAAGGAGGGTATTTTAGAGCTGATGGATGAGAGATTGGGTATTTTCCGTGCCGAGATGGCGGCCATGATGGGGTCGCGCACACTTATGTTCAGGGAGTTCAGGGCATGCGGAGCTCCAGACTATCATGGGGCGCGAGACCCCATAGCGAGTACCAGATGGTTGGCGGATGTGGCCAACGCTTTCCGCACTAGTAGGTGTCCCGAGGGGACAAGGTCAGATTGGCGTCCTGTCTTCTGAAGGACAGGGCACGGGATTGGTGGGAGGAGTTCGGACATGCCATCGGGGATGATGCAGCATTGGACGCCATGACGCAGTCAATTTCAGGGAGCATACGCGGTCCGTTTTTAAGACTCGTGGACAAGACCTTAAGTACACGCGGACCACGTGAGTAGCTCTATAAAGTTCCCTAGTTACAAAGATGATGTGGACCTCCTGGGCGGATACACGCAGACAAACCTGTGAGTACACGTGGACCATTTGTGAACCCATGAAAAATCCCAAACCTTCATACTTGACCAAAACGAACATAGGGGCC